GGAAAGCATGACACGTTTGTCGAGCCCGTATCTGGCGATGGCAGTCTGTAGCAGCAACCAGCGCCTGCCACACCTGCCCTGGTAGTAACGGCTAGGGTTGTGGCGGTTATGCCAGGTATGACCGGGCTCCAACATAAAAGAGCTCTAACTCTCACAAGGAAAATGATTTGAAGCTTAAGCACTTTCAACACTCTTACTCTCTACTCTCTCTTTGAGATTTTCTCCAGTTCTAACTTAGCCATCGGGAGTGTTCCCACCGAGATAACTCCCCGAGAACCCTTCACCTTCTCCTTCCTCTCAGGTGCCGTTCGTTCTAGTCAGAAACTAGGTCACAACCAGTTAGGAGTGCCCAGATCGTGCAGCATCAATTATTGATAGAGTGATTTTGACTTTCAAAGAATTTAGAGAGTTGAGAAATGACCAAATTTCAATAATTGAAAAAAAAAATTGGAAGAACATTAAGTGGACCCCTCCTGAAGTTGGGCCGATTAAAATCAACTTTGATGCTTCCCGCTATACCAATGGTGTATGTACTATTAGTGCGATGGCTAAGGACCATAGGGATGAGATTCTGGATTTCAAAGGCTACTCTCTTGGTATTTCTACAATCAACAATTCTAAAGCTTGGTCTGAGTGGGAGGCTCATAATATAGCGACAAACTTTAGAGAGGTGGTGGTGGTGATTATTGAAGGGGACTGAAAACTGATTATCTCTTGTCTCAAGAATCAGACCCATCCTCCTTGATACCTAAGGAATATCATCCAAGATTGCTTAAAGTTGAAGGATCAGTTGGAGGGTCGAATAAGCTACAGACACGTGTTCAGAGAGGCGAGTGAAACAGCTGATTGGATTGCTAATGAAGCTCAGTCTAGGTTTGGTTGCTTGCATCCTGATCTTTGTAATCTTCTGAGTGATTTAGTAGCTATTTGTAAGGGAGACTTTTGGGGACGTGCTACCCAAAAGTGATTTAGTAGCTCTCTGTCACTAGTCCAAGCTTTTCAACAATGTTACTAATTTATCCTTGTCACTTTCAGACCTAGGAAAAGATAATCCAGGATTCCAGATCATGAGCATCGAATAAGAATAAAATAATAAGTCATGAAGCAAAAAATAATAATAATAAAAAGCAAGAAAAGATTGTCATCTGATTTCACACTTTTCACTAGTCTAAAAAGGTATTCACTCACAATCTCAAAAAGGTATTCCTTTAAACCCTTTTTATCATGTTGGTATAGTGACCTAATTACTAATTAAATTAGCAAAGGAGCCCACCTAGGTCCCTTAGTTCCTTTAATTAATTAGATTCATTTTAAATTTTAATGACTCAATTCTCCTTGTTTATTATTTTGTCAGATGGATATCAATGGATCAGTTCTTTGGAAGATTTTGAGTTGGATTGAACCAATAGCTTAGCTTGATTGGTAGATGATGTTAACAAATTTCAACCTTTTGATGGAAAAATCTGGTGTAGACACCATTAAAAATTTGGAAAAGAGAAGGTGTTTTATGAAGTCAGCTTCGCACTTATCCAATATTACCATCATTAAAGATGAGGCCCGCACTTATTCCGGATTCCCTGCAAGCAAAAACTCTATATACACTCTGAAATCATGAGAATTTAGTCACACATTGAGAATATCTTTATGTACCACTCAATGCTGTGTCCAAAGATTTTGCTTTGAGGAGATGTGGGCTCATTTTTAAATATACTAATATAAGATCAAAAAAATAAGGCCAACTTTGTAGGTAGGTATATGTACATCCTAATGACTCAAGATCTCTTATACTTGAAACTAAAATGATTTATGCTAAGTTGTACACTAACCAATGAGAATTCATCAAAAAAAATCTCAATTGTGATTATGTGGGAGAGGGTGGGTATGATATGGGAAGATCTTGCATTTTAGAGTTTCACCAATCAAAACCACCCCATGAATAATGACTTATGGTTTAAACCTATTAAAGTAATTTTTATTTAAATTTTGCTTCAAAGAATCACTGGTTGAAAAATGCCTTTTTCAGACCAAAAATATTTCTTTCCTTCAAGTTGGATATTTTTTTTTACTCCAAACAATCAATTTTTATAGTGGGTTTTAAGCCCAAAAAGAAAATTAGTTAGAATCATTTTCATACATTTAAACTTAAAAATGATTCCTAAAATCACAAAATTAATGAATTCATTGAAAGCCAGCCCAACCAAACCAATAAGCTTTTAGTAAGACTCTTAAACAACAGTGGAGCAAGAAGGCCAGAAGGTCTATACAATTATTTAATAGCTAATGTATTTTTTGTGTTAAAAGTTGATAAGTACATATTAATCCCGGTCAAGGTCAACTAGGTAATTAGCTAGGCAACAACTCACCTTGGCAGGGCAAAACACTTTTGTACTTATGCCTTTATTATAATATAGTTTAAGAAATAGAGACATGAGCACAAAAATAATATGTTAATTACTTTTCTAAGACCAGAAGAACTTTAATGAAAGTTCGTACCTTTATGTACATCATAATTGAACAGCTCAATGTGTTTATTGTTCATAACTAAATTAAATAATATATTATAATCCTGGACAAGGAACCAAGGACAACTAAGCCATGATCACTTAGGCAACAACCAGAAAAACACATTTCTCCTAATGACTGTATTATCAACTAACATCTCTCTCTAGCAATTGATTAAGGGGGTGGTAGAAATATATGAAAAATATCAAATTTGACTTTCAGGTAGAAATAGTAGTTTATATTGATTACTTCAAAATGTTTTGAAGGCATTTCAAGTAGAAAAATCTCTTTCATATAAATTTATATTGATCAACCTAAAACATAATAACAACACAATATCACAGTAAGATCATTGAACTGAGCCACAGTTTTGGTTTTGAAATGCCAAAGGGAAATTAATCAATGTTGATTTAAGCATTTGTTTTGTTTTGTGGATGTTTCGTAATAACTGTTTATTAAAATATCATCATGTTATTTTTAAATTATCATTTTTTTCATTATGTTCGTTTGTACGTATTGATATTCATAAAAGTGGGTTTTGATTTATGTGTGCACCAACCGTGGGGGAAGCTTCATTTTAATGCCTCCTTCAACAGTTGAGCGTTTATTCACTCAATTGTTGATGTGGCTCTCAATGGCGCTTTAGTTTAATGGTTTATCAAATACTTTTTTCGGTTTTGAAGACAAATCAAGTACAAACTTTTATTTAATAAACTGAAGCTATACCAAATAGGGGTGTCCATGAAAAACCAAAAAACCGAACCGCATAATGTAGTTAACCGAATCAATCGGTTCGGGATTTTTGAAAAATCGAAGGACCGGTTCAATTTTCGGTTAACTTACAAAAAACCAACGGTTAACCGAACCGACCAGTATATATATTTTTATGTATATTTTATATATATTTTTAATATATGTAACATATTTTCTATGTATTATATATAAATATATATTTATTATATATAAAAATATATACTTATATTATATTTATATTGATCTATTTATAAATATATTATATATTAAATAATTTTCAAATATTTATAATATATTATATATCATTTATTATTTATAATATAATATTATACATATATTTGTATAATATATATTATAAATATAAAATACCAAAAAACTGAAGAATCAAAACGGTCAAAAACCGAAATTGACGGACCGGTTAACCGGTGGTACTGGTTCGATTTCGGTTTGAAGAATTGGAAAAACCGATACCACAGGTTCAGTTTACAAAAAAGTGCCATAGTTTGGTTAACCGAACCGTGGACACCCCTAATACCAAAAACATACTACATCTGCTGCTAATCAAATATTAGTGTGATGAAGAAAGCTGTTTAGCCTGTCTTTATTTAGGGATGGAAGACGGGTGGGCTAGGAAAGGTCAACCCCAGGAACACATTGAAATTTGACAATAGACGTACTCATGTTGGTCAGATGGGTTCAAACGGTACTGTTAGTATAAAGAACTTAGGCCCCGTTTGGTTCGTGGGAATAGGGGTCTGGAATTGGAATCGGAATGGGTTATTTTAATTTCAACTGTTTGGTTGAGTGGAATCTGAACCCCATTCTCATTTCTGCTGAAATGACATTCCCCCATTTGAGGGAATGGTCATTCCCTGCCCCTCCCTTGAAAATAAAATCTCATTCTTTCTGATTCCAATTCTCATTCCCATTTTCATTCCTGTCTGGACCAAACAGATTATAGAAATAGACCATTCCGATTCAATTCTGACTGAATCAAACATCTCCTCAAAAATTTTTATGTAGCTATTTAGTATTACTAATTTAAACTTTAAAATAAAATACTTGCATATTTTACATACAAACATGTGTGTATATGTGAATGTATGCACATAGTTATGCTCGGGTTAGGTCAGGCTCAGTTCCAGCACCAGAAAAAAACAAATAATAAAACATGGGTAAAGCTTGGGGTTTTGGGTCCAAGTTCAGCCCATACAAAAAATGCAGGTTTGGTCGGTCCAGGCACTGGTTGGGCCAATCCAATAATGGTACAACTTGGAAGGCCCAACTGCCCCAGCCCGTAATTTTACAGCTGGGCTTGGATTTTTGTTCCTCTATTTGGGCCTGGGATTGAAAGCTCATGCTTTTTTTTATTATTTTTTAGAGATGGACCTAGACTTATCCCTTAGTTAGCTCGAACCCTGCCTAAGATCGGCCATTCGGCCCTACTATATACATACATGTATATTGATACATAAAAGCATACTTATAAACATACATATTTTTATCAACCTGATTACATCAAATTTTAGTGCAAAATGGGTCCGGGTTACGATTTTATCATTTTCTGTTAGTTCTGTTATCAGAAAAAACCCGAACAGTTTGCAAAGTAGAGCAACACAATCGGCACTGTGTTTACTTATTATTTTCTTTACTTTCTCCGTCCTTTCACGCCAAAAGGACGTCTATTTCTTCCTTGTTAACAGACACCAACACTCTTTCTAACCTGCATCAGGCATCACCTACCGATGGCCTTCTGGTATCTTCAACTGTTCTTTCTTCTTTCTGTTTCAGGTAATTAGAACTAGAAGTAATGACCTTAACATTTCCAAATTAGAACGGATCTCCGTAACATTTGTTTTGACAGTGTTCTAACTTGTAAGTAAGCATTAATTTCGCAGGTGCAAAGGCGACTGTGTTTACACTGAATAACAACTGCCGGAAAACGATATGGCCTGGTATCCAACCAAGTGCCGGCAAACCAGACTTAGAAGCTGGTGGGTTCCCGCTAAAACCAGGAGAAACAGTAAGCATCTCGGCACCGGCTGCGTGGTCAGGCCGTTTCTGGGGTCGACGCAGTTGCTCCTTCGATCCTTCCGGCAAAGGTAGCTGCATCACAGGCGATTGTGGGGGCTTGTTAGCATGCTCAGGGATGGGCGGTGCACCACCAGTGACGCTGGCCGAGTTCACCCTCAACAGCCCGGACGACTACTACGATATTAGCCTCGTTGATGGCTACAACATGGCCGTCTCTATTACACCATCGGGTGGCTCCGGCGAGTGCAAGCCGGCAAGATGTGTGTCAGATTTGAACCAGATCTGCCCTACGAACCTGCAAGTTAAGAGGAAGAAGCGGGTGGTAGCATGCGAGAGCGCGTGCATGGCGTTCAACCGCCCGGAGTATTGTTGCACTGGGGATTATAGCAGTCCGGATAAGTGCAAACCAACGAATTACTCGCGAGTGTTCAAGGCTGCTTGCCCTAGCGCGTACAGCTACGCCTATGATGATCAGTCGAGCCTTCGTACATGCAATGGAGCCAATTATCTGATTAAATTTTGTTAAACTTTCACATTTTCAGGTTTTCACATTAAACTAAAAATAGACCCGAAGACCTGTTCAAGAAGTGAGAATTAGAAGTCTAATGAAAATATATGACAAACTTGATTCTAAACTTATGGTTTCAAAATCATCTTCTCCTCTGACATTTCTTACACAATAGTCTGTTCAAGATTCTGATGGAATGGATTTTTAGTTCACCTTTTTTGCTTTCATATTTTATTTGAAATGTGGAACCTTGCCCCACTTAAATGTGGGTTGGTTACCGCTTAATCCATCAGAACTGTAAAGCAGCATTTGTAAGAGCGTAGGGTAGCAACTTGGGCTGGTCCAACTTGACCGATTCAAAACTTTCTGCATGGTTGGATATTTGGGTTTAGATTTTGTATCTATAGTGGGCCTAGTCCAAAAGTTTGGGTCAGACCATAACTCAGGATGATGCCACACACAATTAGCCGGAGGATCAACCTAATGCAAGCCCGACATATCCAATTTGATTCGACCCTGTTGATCCTTCCACTTCTAATTTGTACCCCTAAGGAAAAAAGTGCACGAGAGAGAGAGAGAGAAACCCAATCAACGCGGCCTGAGTTGTATTGCGTTTAACTTGGACTGGGCTTTGCTTTGCTAGCATGTATTTTGACATTGGGTTAGGCCCATCACCCTAGCTCAAGGATTTGCTAATCAGCTTCAACTGGAGTACAGAACCCTCCATGCCACTACAAGAAAAAAGGTGTATAGTTACAGACCAAATCCGTCACTATAGGATCTATAGGACGAACAAATGACGAAATTTCATCCATCACTATAGCTTATAGTGACAGATTTCAAAATCCATCACTAATGTTTGGCCTATAGTGGCAGATATTATAAAGTTTTTCTATAGTAACAAACATCCTATGACCGTCACAATAGATATTTACCTATAGTGATGGATTTTAAAATTCGTCACTAATTTAATGCTTATAGTGACAGTTGTATTTGTCACTGTGGAGTATTCCTATAGTGACAGATAATATATGACCATCATTATAGATATTTATAGTGACTGTTCTCTCCGTCACTGTATTAGATTGTGAATATCTATACTAACCATTTTATTTGTCACTATATTCAATTTTAAGCATTTATAGTGACAATTTTACCTGTCACTATATTAGATTTAAAGCATTTATAGTGACGCTTTTATCAGTCACTATATTAGGTTTTGAAACTCTATAATGATAATTTTATCTGTCACTATATTGGACTTTGTATCTCTATAGTAACAATTTTGTCTGTCACTATATTAAGTTTTGAATCTCTAGATGGTTTTGTTTGTTACTAAATTGGGTTTTGGTTATCTATAATGACAACTTTTATACCACTACAAGCTTTTAACTTCTCTAACCTGTGGCATATTTATATGAGAAATCATATGTTTTATTCATTTTCACATGGCAGCAAATTTACAAATAAATTTTCACAAAAATTTAATATATTAAATGAAAACTAAAAATACATGAAAATATAATATCCACACTTCAACATGTAAAAGTGTATCACAAGTGACACTTTGCTATATATAATAAACCACAATAAAAATGAAAATTATTGATCTCAAATCCCTTCATCCATGTATGTTGTAACTCCTTACAAATGCATTCAACCTGAAAAGCAAAATAAAAAAATAAAAAAAAAAATAGATTGAATAGCTAGCATGAGATTAAGGCAAGCAAATAAATTAAAATAGAAGCTGGGATTGAATAGGTAAATCAAACCAAGAGATGGTAAACTTGGAACAAATATAATTCTAAAATTCAAGGCTTCTAGAACTTGGTTCCATCACCATTCAATAAGAGAGGAAATGTCAAACCATAAGCTCCATTTATGTGAAGAATCTTCTGACTAAATTTTATGCTAGTAGTAATATTTCCCCATTGATGACTTTCCTTAGTAGTGACCGGGGCAAACCAAAGGATGCGAGTCCATTGCAACTACAACAAAGCTATTGAATTTTTAAAAGCAGCTCTTAATTTGTAACTAGGAAGGTTGAATCACGCAATTTTAATTGCACAAACAAAATAAACCCTTCCATGAACGTTCAGGAAGAAGGTAAGGAACTTTTCCATTGTAATAAAAGACAAAACAGAGTCATCAAGAACGTTAGAATAACAACAACCTTGAGGTAAATATACAAGTGAATTATTTGCAACTTATTCAAAAATAGAAAAGATAAAAAAAAAAAATGATACCTTAGATGTGACTAAAGAACCAATGGCTCCTTCACCAGAGAAGAGATGATGCAGCTGCAACGGCAAGGTTTGAGAAATTAAATAAAAATAAAAGTTATGATTAAATGGTTCTAGAGAAACCAGGTATAGTAAAACAAGCTCATTGGAGTGAAAATCAGGCATTATTTTTTGTGTGATTAGCAGCTTCCATCTGTCAAAATCAGGCATTATTTTTTGGAAGATTAAGAACACGATCAAGAGATGGATTCCAATGGTGGCTTTTGGTGAATATTCTTGCTGGAGCACCATGCGACTTTCCAAGGACAAAGCTGAGGCTCTTGAGATTTCTTAAACTAATTGTCATAAATCAAGGATCTAATATATTGTTGGTTTTCAGATTTGCAAGGACAAAGTTGAGGCTGAGGTGTGGATTGCAGGTCTCAAAGCACTGATTTCTTCCAGTCAATGTGTGGACGTTCAAAAATTGATGGATGGAGTGATGGACTTTCTTTTGGTGTAACTACACATATTGGAACCTCTTGTGGTCTTTAACTTTCAAAATTATTCTGTTCTTTAAGGGATGTTTGGAACTGTGGTTGTTTAAAAAAAAAAAAAAACGATGTTATGTTGGATTCACATAAGCGTTTGTGAACCGTTTCCCCCAACGGTTGATTGATGTGTATCCTATGTGGTGTTTACCTGTCAGCACATACAAGAAAAATGGTGATGAAAATCACCTTACCAAACAGTATAGTGTTGCTCACTGCCTACATGGCATAAGCGTTTTTTTTGTGAAAAACGAGTCATGGAAACATGAACATTTTTTCTTGAAAATTGATCCCAAAAAGCACCCACACGCTTCCAAACACCATGTTAATCTGCATTAAGCTACCTCTTTCAAACATTGTAATATTTTCCAACCATTCACCATCTCAAATTGATAAATGATAAAACATTTAGATGCTGATTTTTCATGCCACAACCTTTCAAATCTTAGCATTTTCCGGTCTGATTGGGCCCAAGACAAATTTAGTTCAGGTCTGGTTGAGAATTTACTCAAAAAAAAAAAAAGAAGTGATTAAATTTTTAATGGGCCCAAGCCAAATGTGGTTCAAATTCTTCAAATTGGGAACCCTGAATTACACCTCTACTAAATTCTTGAAATTTAGATACATCTTGCAGATATTGTAATATTTCTCCAAGCCAAATGTAGTTCAGACTAAATTTTGAACGGGCCCAAGCCAAATGTAGTTAGATTCTTCGAATTGGGAACCTTGACTTAGAAGTTGGAACATCAAATTCAAAGATATTGGAGATATCAGATTACTCAATGTAAAAAGCAAGTTTGCCCCCAACATCATCCCAAAAGGGTGAATACACACCATCAGTCTCCATAAACCTCAAATAAATCCAGGCAATGCAAAATGCAAGATAAATAAGTTAAGGTATTCTCATATGGAAACACCCCAGAGAACATACTATTCACCTTGGTTAGTTGGTACCCACAAAACAGTCAAAAAAGTTTCAAAATACAGGTTGGATAAAAAATCTGACATAGACAAAAAGAAAAAAAAAATCTATATCTAAATCACTCCAAAATGAACAAATCTCATTAGACTTGTTTGATTCATTTACCGTATGGCCTGAAAGGAGGCAACCGAGATCAGAAAACTCACCTCCAATCAAAGATAACTGAAGAAAACCAAATCTGTAAATCCCACAAGATGAGTTTTGAAAAAAAAAAATAGTAAATGGATCTAAACCAGCCTATAACCAGTATTTAAAATACTGCATAAATGAAGCTCTATCAGGTAGTAGGGTTTTCCCTTTCTCCTATAGGGACTAGGTGTAAACCTTCTGACCTTATCAAGCTATACACAGGTTTTTCCTTTCTATAGGGGCCATCAAGGTTTTAAATTTCGCAACGACCCATATCGGCCATACATATCAGAGACATCACTAAATGCTAATATTATTTAATTAAATACTCATTTGAATTACCTTTAATTACGACATTTAATATGTCATTAAATGTTATTTAGATCAAATAACTTGTTAAAAATCATAAACCGAAGGTAACAAGTTTCAAAGTTAAGTCATTTGACTACAACAATAATTAATTAATCATTATGCCAACCTTAATTGTTTAATAAAATATATTTTTTTATTCTTAAAGTAATCTTTCTTTCCAAGGCGGATGTTTCCTGACAAATGCTAAAATTTTATTGTTAATATTTGTATAATAATAAGATAAATACAAATTATAAGGTATATATTAAGTTGTATACATAATAAATAATATCTAAATCTATATATAATAAATATTTACTAATAAATGAATTCAAAAAATATTAATTAATAAATATTAGTATATACACACACATACATTTTAGTTCTTTTATTATTTTTCAATGGTTACTAATTATATCCAATACTTTATATAAATCATTAAAGAATGGTTTTATGTTTAAATAAATTAGTTATAATCACATAAAACTCATTTGTATTGTTGTTCATATTTTTTTAAGGATTTGTTTTTGGATTTTTTAGTGTATCTATACATATCTTGATTTTTCGTTCATATTTATGCATTTCCAAAATGTATCTTGATACGTCTCTTAAAATGACCTTTTCGATACACCTTGCGTTTACGATACTTTGAACCTTGGGGGCCACTCTATTTATCACCTTCATTACTAAAAATGAGATTCCATCATTCACTTATAGTGCCAATAAAGTAAATAGGAATCTAAACAGATTCTCTCGTAATTAATCATACCTGCTTAGCTATTGGACCTTTTATAAATATGTGATTTGTGTCTTCTTCTTCCCCACATAAAACAAGACCCATCAATATCCAGACCTCTCAAAATCAGTATTTTCTTAGAGGGGAGATTTTTGTTGAGAAGCAAGTATAGAAAATATTCATATTTTGGAGTGGTATTCATAGCCCATATTTTGTTGGTACCATTCAAAGGCCTCAAAGCATTTCTATGCATTAGGGAAGCCTCATTTTAGGCATTTTTAATGGGAAATTTACCTCTCCGGTTGGGTCTCCAGATTTTTTTTTGTCCTCAATAACAAGACTACTAATTCTTGTTACACCCCAAGTGAGTCTCCCCGTATCAATCACCTCAATGACTTTGAGGTTTATGTTAGAAATTGTGTCTTTATTTGCCGCATTGATCAAGGGTTTTCCATCAACCCAATTATCCAACCAGAACCTATTTGAGTTACCATTTCCAAAAACAATTCTATTCCTCTTGTAATTAAATGTCTAGAGGAAATGATACCTTTCCATGCCCAAGAAAGACCTTTCCTATTAACCAACTCCCAAAAATTCTTATTTCTTAAATATTTATGTATCACTACTTGAATCCAAAGATTATCCTTTTCATTAAGAATTCTCCAACCAAGTTTAGCCAAATTTACTTTATTTAGTCCACCAAAGATTTCTTGGACCCAAACATCCTTAGTGTTTGGAGGTACAAACTCTGCCCGAATTAACATGGTGTAAAGGTTTTTTGTATTTATGATTTGTCCACATAAAATCTCTTTGTTTCCTGTCCATTTTCTCCAGGGCATTTATATGTGATAAATGCCTGATGGGCAGGCCCAACAACTTTCCCCAAGACCGGAGAGTTCTGCAAGTTTTCTCTCAATCTTCCCATTTAAAAAATTAAATGTGTTCTTACAATACTTATTAGAGAAGATAGGGGCCCCTAAGTACAGATCACCTCTAGCACCTAGAGGAATTTTTAGGATTTTGGATAAAATCTTCTATAAGCTGGTGTGAATATTGATGGAGAACGATTTGACCCAACCTATGAAACAGTGACACATGGACACTGACTCAGTACGAGCGATAGCTCAGCGTTGTAGCCTGGTGCGACCAAGTGACGGGCCCATAAAGCAGCTCGCTACATTGTAGCTTACAAAAGGAGAAGCTCTCCACAATGCGAGCTCCGGGTTCCCCGAGCTACCTTTGAAGAGATACTCTGAGGCGAGAGCTAAAGTTACTAGCTCGTCCGAGCTCCCAAGCAGACAAGTCATCCCAAGGACCAATTCTACTAAGGATAATCCCTGAGTGTTCCAAGCTCGCTACAAAATAGCTCGCGAATGAGCTGCATGAGCGCCCCTTAGGAAGCTTCTGACTGACAGACCGTACCGGTCAGACTGCGTCATATCCCTTACTGATGGCGCAGTCCCAGTCCTTTCGGCAGTCTGCGTCCACGTTTCTCAGTAGGCAAAGGCGTGCCTTTCACTTTGGAGACATGTCACTCACCCGAGTGAGACGTACGCCACAATGGCCACCTGCGCAGCCCTGGCAGGAGCCCAGTGGCGGTTATGCCCGACCTGACGTGAGTGCCCCTATAAAAGCCCTAAGGGTTAGAAGAGAAACTTCTTCTTCAGACTTCTAATCTCTCGAGTATAGTGAGAACGCGCTATCTGCACTCTTAACCTTCGTCTCCTTTTTGCTTCTCCTACAGAGTACTAACTTAAGCATTGGAGTATCCCCACCGGGAAAACCCACTGGGGATTCTTCTTCTTCATCTCAGGTACCTCCAGGAGACACGTGAGTGCCATATAGGAGTGACTGGATCGCGCTACATCAAATATTTTTAGACAAAATAATGCTTGATTTGGTGAATGAGAAGCCTATGCAAAGGCCTTAGCAAATTTGTCCAAAGTATATTTTACTATACAACAGGCTTGGATGTTAGCTTTGGCAAACATGTTAGATGATCGAAATGTTAGGACCATGTCTTGAGGCTTTAGGGTTTAGGGTGTATCCCATCAATTCTTATTATTTTTTTTGAAAAATTAAATCTTAAATTATTTATTTTAAGTTTTTTAATTTTAATTCTATTTTGGTTTTTATGTTTATAATTTTAAATTTTCATTAAAGTTCAAAAAATCCAAAAATGGTCAATAGTTTCATCAAACTAAACATTGATATGCTTCCGTATCTATACGTACCAAATCATATCCACTTTACAACACAATAAGACCCAACGCTGTGGCATATCATGTCAATATGCACAACTTACAGGATGTGTACCTAGTCATGGTGTATCCCATCGTGATATTCGTCATATTGGGAAAATTGTAATTAGAATGACCATCAGCCCAGGATCGAAATTTGTAGATTCAAAATGCTTCGGAGTAGGTGACAGTTCGAAATTGATGCCAATTCATGAATTAACGTTGATGTATAAAGTATAGATTATTAACCTTTTGAATATTTATAGCTTTATAGTGGAAATCAAAAATCTGCATTGGACAAATCTATACTTCTCTGAAAATTGTATGGATACCTTAAATCTTGATTTATACGTACGGATGTTAGTAAATCGTTTGGGACAGTTTTGCCTCGACTAGAAACCAATGGAATGAAGATGGGATACCAAACCCACTTTACCCCACCTCCTATGAATTACACTTTTACTTGACTTCACCCCATCTCAAACCTAACTTGACATTTTTCACTATCTGGCATGGGCTTAGTTCGAACCCAGCTCAATCATAATAATTTGACCCATCCCAACCTAATATTACATATAAGGGTGGACCCATCCTAATCTAATATTACATATAATGGTGGATTCGAGCCTATTCTAGCTAAATATTTAGTTATTCAAATTCGGCTCGTAAGAATAGTATTAGGTTCAAGATTCGAGCAAGAGATTTGAGTTCGAATTCGACTCGGTTTATAACTTGTAAAGTTGAGCTCAATTCAGCTCGAACTTGACTATAAGTCAAATCTTTTTTGAAAAATAAAAATTACATGTATAAAATTATTTTTTTATTTTTTCAGACAAAAAATTAAGAATTATAAAAATGATTTATTATTATACATAAATAATAAAAAGGATACATTACAAAGAATCCTGTACTTTGTTTTGCGACAAAGAGATTCCTGTACTATGACCGTGAGATAAAGATCCCTTCCTTCCGTTAAAATCTACCCTTTTAATTCCCATACTACCCTTGTGGCGAAAAACATTTTTCATCTACCAAGAACTCTGTTTTTCGTAATTCGAATGCCTCCATCAGAGATTCATTGATTACTTTGAATCTGCCATCATTTTTTCCTCCCAAGAACTCTGTTTTTCTCGTTCCAAAGGATTCATTGCGGGGATTATAGTGGCGGTTCTCTTTGTTCTTGCCTGTTATGCGGTGATATCTCTACTTTTGGTTAAGAGAAGGCGGAGAAGGTGAGGGAGAGAGTGGAGATGGAAGATTGGGAACTGGAGTATTAGCCCCATCGTTCTCGGAAGAAAATGTAATTGGGGTTGGAGGGAATGGAAAGGTCGGTTTCAGACAACCGGTGTGCCAAGCCAAACGCGGCTTCTAACTTTCCGCGCTCGATTTTAGACAACCGGGACTCCGTGAGTCCGTCACACCTCACGCCTAAATGCGTAGTGAATGTCCTTGTAAAATCAGAGATTCGTCCACCGGATGCGTAGTGAATGTTAGTTTCAGACCCGTCGGAACCTCGACGAGTCAAGATTCGTCCCCGATCCAGTCACCCGGTTATAAGGAAAACGAGAGAGCTTCCAGGCGACATATGTCAAAATATCCACCGAATTGGAAACTATCATCAATATCGAATCTTGCGAGTGTTGTGCTAGCGGTTGTATTATATTCCGGAAGAGTGCCACGTTTCGGTGAAGTAGACTCGGCCTCGACTCACCGGTGTTTTGATGCGCTCCCGCCATCACGATGCAGAGGTCCGATCTATGTGAGAAGTAGGCGGGCTTGGCGTCACGGAGTTTGTCGGGCTTGGCGTCGACGAGGGCGAGTTCGTCGGCAAGGTCCTGGGTTAGGATGGTCTGAGATGGTTTTGGATGGTCTGTCATGTGAGAAGTAGGCGGGATGAAATTGGCTTTATTCCGATCAACTAGACTTCTCAGATTAATACTGCAATTGAAAAAAGTGAAAGTTAAACCGTTGTTAACCTCAAAATAAATAAACTCGCAACCAAAGTCACGAAGAATTCACCGCTGAAATAAGAACATGAATAGACCAAATTAAAGAACAAAAAATGAGATGGGAAGATGGGGATGAAACCTAGTAGAGAAGAAATAGGCCCTAACAGGAATGGAAGGTTTCATCTCCTCCTCGTTTATGGTGCTGCTACGGCCATCGCCGATCTCCGAGCAAGAAATGGACTCGTTCCAGTCCAATGTGTGCGCCGAGGGGATTGAAGAAAGCCCTCGAATAACGATAGTCCGACAGCCGGAACCGAAATTGGAACCGCTCGGCCTTGAATTGAAAGACAAGAAGTTCCGCTGGAAGGTTGAGGATTTCGTGGTGGAGAAACAACGGGGTGGTGATGGAATAACAAGGCAATAGTTTGAAAAGGCTGATTTTGCTCTGAACGACGTAGCTGGTGACAAAGATGATGAAGTAGAAGACAGCAGAAGCATTTGTCTTCAAATGCTTGTCAATCGAACGACCTCGCCACATTTTCATCCCAACATCATATGCTTCGCTCTGCTCTTGTTGCAGCTGCTGCCACTGCCAGACGCTGAGAGACTTGCGAAATAAGCAAGAGATCAACGTGAGCCCAGACAGTGTTTATAGTTTATAGTTTCCACAGGAGAGTAAACACTGTTCTAATACCAGAGTACTCTGACAGTTTGACTTTTGAAGCCACAATGGAACGAAGACCTTGCCGACGAACTCGCCCTCGTTGAAGCCACAGTCTGGGCTATGTCAAGATCTAGATCTTGGCTTAGGAACCCAAATGAAGGACTCTTCTCCATGGGCGTCGAACAATAGAAGTGGAACTGCTCTGGAGTCTGGTCTGGTTGGATGGATCTTCTCCACTCTCGACGGGGCAAGTATTTAAAAAGGTCACTGGTACCGACGACGGTGATCTTTATGCCTCTTTTTTGTCGCCGCTGTTGTTCGTGAATGTGAGGTTGGGGGAGATGAACAGTGTTCGAATACTTATTACAAGGGTAGTATTGAAATTAAAATGGCGGATTTCAAGGAAAAGCTAAGGGAATGGGGTCTTTATCTGATGGTCTTTGTAATTTAACTTAATAAAAATATTATTATATATAATAAAATTATTTATTATATATATATAAATTATTTATTTAATACTAGACTTGCAAGTCTCATGAACCGAATTTCATTAGGCTCCAGCTTAATTCAATTAGTAAATGAGCCTATATATCAAGCTCAAATTCGACTCGAAACTCGTTTAAACTGAGCCGAATGAATCCGAATAACTTATGAAAGACTCACCTCTTGGACACACATGTAGATATACATACAAATGCAAATAAACAATTTTACAATACTTTTAGTAGCAGTTTTCTTATATAACAGTTTAGATTATTTTTAATATTTAAATAGGTTGTGGCCTTTTTTTAATACATTGGACCTAATAGTTTCACCTTGAGATTGATTGACCAACTTGAACTTGATCCCAACAAGAGTGTATCAACTAGGTTGACCTGAGTTGGGAGATTGAGCTTGACCTAGGATGAATTTGAGCGAGTCTTATGTTTTCTGCTTTGAATTGACCTTAATCTTGATCCATCCTGCTAAAGTCTTTCATATCCACAACAACTATACTTAAAAAAAACAAATCCGTTTTACCCCAGAATCATTATTTCTTCTAAAATCATTGATTTGGTCAGCAAACCGCTGACCCAGGCGATCAAACCGTTTGAACCGTTCGAACCATTAAATAGTTTGGCTGGTTTTTATTTTTTTGTTAGAACGAGTCGTCCATTCAATCTGAACGGTGGAATTGTTCAACTCGGGACCAGACCCCTGACCGATTCGTTGTCCAGATCGATTTTAAAAACCTTGATTCATATCATTATATGTAGAAGCTATAGTCAGCGACCTCTGTAAACTGAAATTATAACCCAGAAAATTGAACATCTTGCGTAACTTCAACTATGCTACAATCTAATTACCAAAAAATAAATAAATAAACTAAGCTACAATCTTTTGCAACCTCGACCAAGCTTTAATCTTCTACAACCTCAACGAAGCTGCAACATTATGCAACCTCAACGAATTTACCTAATCAAAACTTTAGCATTCTTCATAGTGTTATTTTTGGCTAAATTTGACAATGGAACTAAAGTTTTTTAGGCAACGATTTAAGGGCTGGGTTAAGGGAAGAATAGAATAAAGCGATGATGATCTATTTATCTTCACAACATACCTAAATACCTGAATATGAAGGGAGACCCACATACCCACCTTTATTTGTTTGTTTTCATTCACATGAGATACATGGTAAAGAATTGAAGATTATTTTGCCGGGTATGAACCTTTTCTCGTGGAAGACCCATAGAATAAAAAAACTTCACTCTCTTTTGTTTTTTTGGGGTAAAAGAAATGGAGAATAAGAAAGCAAATCTTCCTTTCTAATCAATTCTTAAACCAGTCTGCAAAAGAGAGATACCAACCGAAAGAACTCGATCTACAATTTAAACACTATCAAATCAGGCTGTTTGAGCATGATCACATGGAAATAAGCAATGGATAATAGTTTCAGGCTCTTCACTGTAGATTGGACACAAACTGGAATCTCCCAGGTCCTATCCCTCTTTTTAACAGATTTTCTTTCACTGCTAACCCGTTTTGACAACACTTCCAAACGAAGTTTTTAAGTCCTAGAAGAACATTTTCAAGCTGGTTAAGGCATACTAATGTGCCCTGATCTTAAACATTTTCACTCTCTTTTGCATTTGTGCTTCGTGCCTTGCAATTTTGGATTATAACGAAGCACAGCCTTAATACTATAATCGTTCAAGTTGGCTCGGTGAAATCAGCTCAATCAAAGCTTCAGTTCCTTCCAAACGGGCCCCTAAATAGCGAACAGCTAAAAAGTGATTTTCTCAGTCAAAACTTCACCAAAGTATAATTAAAAGGAATTGACGATGCGGATTAGACAGCCCAGTATTCCAATCCAACGGATTAAGGTATGGCAGGCAATTATGCTGCCCTATCCTAAATTCCTAATATCCTTCTCAAGTGGAGAGTGCACTCTGCTGTGTGCACCTGTGTTACACCACGGCAGATAAGACAGAGAATCCCCTGGACCTCCGACTCTCCGGGTAACGTGGCAGACACGAAGGTATGAGACTGAGAGCAAAAGGTTGAGAGTTGTCTCGACCAAGAGAGTATGGCGTATGGGCGCAGCCCCCATTCTGGTTAGAAAAAAAAGATAATCTTAAATAAAATAAATACACGTGGCAAAATACAATTGGCTTTCGTTTCGCGCTTTTCCTTCCTGTAAAAATTTGAAAATCGATACCGTTCATATACCTGACAAATGCAGACAAAAACCCTCCAAAACTTCCATCGATTGTATACAACATTCGGCGCTGCTCCCGTCTTCTTACCATGGAAGACGATCAGGACCTCGACTTCATCGCGCCTTATCCGGCGCCTTCTATCGTCTCCCTGTCTCCCTTCTCGCCTTCTGTCACGCCTTCTCCTCGCAGACTCTCGTCCCATTTCAGCGCGCCTAGTCCCCCCATCCGCTCAGCTCGGCAGCTCTGTTGGGTATCCCTCCAGGGGCGTCTTGTTGGGGCGGAGGAATGCAGCTCGGCTAAAGTAGTTGGGGGAGACTTTAGCCGAGAAGAAGCTGTTGCCTGGGAACTCTTTAGCCCCATTCATCGAATCTTAATCGTCGCCGTCGTTGCTGTCGCCACCGCGGACATGAAGAAATTTCGCCAGATATGGAAACTGAAAAGATCTGTAGATCTTCGGGTTCGTAAGACAAGCTTGTATTAATAATGGGTTGTTTTTATTTGCTTGTAATGCTGATTTAGTGATTATATAGACATATTTCTTCTAGATATCAGGGTCCATTTTAAAAAGTTTCTACTTTTTTCTCGATTCTCCACTTTGTTGAGTCCTTTTTATTTCCTTTTCTTTTGATAAGCATTTATTTGGTCCATTCAGGTCATGTTCGGGTCCCATTTAACAGATATTCTTCTTTAACAAGTTCAGTGCTTCTATTTTTCTGTATTTCCATCTATATTTTTCTCCATTTATTTCTACCGTATGTTTTTTCCCCCTTATTATTAGAAAAATAGAGTATATACTAACTATAGATATCGTCTCTGTATATTCTTTTCCTTTTGCAAAAGTTGTATCACAGTTTTCCTTATGTTCCAGAAATGAAAAAGCTCATATGCTCTCCTTTGTTTTGGCTTTTTAGGATCAAATACTATCCAGCATGCAGCAGAAGCTCGACGACCTGTGTGAGCTGCTGAATGCCATCAAAGAACGCCCTGAAATTGGGTCTGACATGTTGTTCACAAACAGCAAGGATTTCCCATTTGGCGAAGACGACAAACTCGGTGAGGCCGTGTGTTCTACCTGTGGTTGTAAGGCTTGTAATCAGGTAAGTATCTAACTGAGTGGAATTCATTTATAGCATGACGGTGGGCTAACTCTTTCCTTTTTCCGCACATGGCTCAGCGAAACTCCATTGACAAAGCATGTAGTCGAGATGATATGCTGAAATTTAAAGTGAGTCTCGCAAATGGGGCAGAGCCAGAGGAGCGCCGGATGTCTGATTTATCAGATTGGGCTTCGAGTGTTACTTCTTCGGTAGATACTCAAGTAAGGAAACATCTGGGGACAATTTGTGATTTTGGGTTTTCTGTTTGTAATAGGAAGTTATTTCAATTGAATTTTGCATTGTTGTGGTTAGAAAAAAGGACCTCTGCAATGCTGGTCCATGAAAATGTATAAGCATGGTTACCACGGTCGAAGTCGTGTCTGAGACATGGAGTTCTGTTTTACTTCTGAATGGCTGAAATTCTTTCACCATTTTCCCCATATGACGAATTCCCTGTGTTCTCATGGCTATTTGAGTTTTGCAACGGTCCCTGTTGGTGTTTTGGTAGCACAGCTAAAGAAAGAGTGATTGTTTTATTGCTTTCTTTTTGTAAAGAAGTTGCAAGTGGCAGAATGGTTTCCTTCTAGTCAGATTGAGTTTTGGTAGCATGTTGGGGATGATTAGCCCTACAACTTTGCTTTTAGGATCCAAACCAAATCATATTCATACACACCAACTAGAACAATACATTTGAGAAGAATATTGGTTTCAATCTTTTTATGGTGTTAGTGGCACCTTTGGTATCTAGTTTCGTTCTTCTTATTTTTCCTGGTTGTGATTGTTTGAGCCTTGTTGACATGATTTCTAGAGTGAACGAGACATTCCTTTGGTTACAACTTACAATCTAAAGCTTAATTAGGATAAAAATGGTAAAATAGCTATTTGGTTGATTTGCATTTATAATGCCACATGACCTACACTCCTTGCAGCTTAACACATTAGTGATAGAGCAAGATATATACAACCTCCAGAGGAAATGTGAAGAAAAGGAGGGTACTATAAGGGAGCTTGAAACTATTATCTATGATTCTAACGTTGCTGCTGTGAAGGTAATTGATATATTTCATGATCATCTTTTTGTGCATGTCTGTTCATAGTTAATAATAGACCATCCATTGTTTAACATCATTCTTTCTTCTCAACTACAGCGAATTGCAGAGTTGGAAGATGTTATCCGAAGGAAAAGCATGATAATTACAAAATTGAAGAAGGATATGGTAGTTCTAGAACAGAAGGTGTATATAAGTTTAATTTTAAAACTTTCAAACTTGTGTGTTTTTTGTAATTCATATATTAGAATTTTCTTTTAATTCAAGTACTAAAGTTAAAAATATAACATAGGTGGTGCATCTAACGAGGATTCGGCGGCCATCCTTCTCTACACCAACACCGGATGTTACACAACTGCCAGTAATGTCAGATAATATTCTCTATGGCATGGACAACAGCACCAGTCCATCATCCTCAGATTCTGATTCTCCTGTTGAGAACCAATTACATTCTCCAGTTCATGAAGATACAAACTTTGTTCTTCAGGAGGATATTGCTGCGACAAGGATTCAGAAATCAGCTTCAGAAAAGATTCTGGACTCCTTTCCACAACCAACAGAGAAGTCTATGAATACACAACATGTGAACCCTCTTAATGAGAGCTCCAGGAATCAGAAACCTAATTCTACAGTGACAGTGAGGGCTATGCAATTAGCATCAGGTGGTGGAGATGTAAACAGGAGTAGGAGACGTAGTCAAAGTGCTTCAAAAGACGTGACTCAACAAAAGAGATGGGTTTAGTAGGTACTATTTCACTCATAGCACACATCTCAAATGGACAAACTTAGGCATTAAAAAGGTTTTTGTGACTTCATAGGTTTAATGGTTCTATATTATATTACAGGGTAAATACTAGATGCTTGGGAAGCTGATTACTAAACTCTAACACCATGGACCCGAAGTTGATTTGGTTGCAAGGCATCCCTCCCATAGTGGAGGCATAAGATCAAATCTAACTATTACCATATCCCCTTAAGAAAAGAAGAGAAGAAAGATCTATAACTTAACATATTTTAACATAGTCTAGTAATCAGGGCCAGTTTAGATGGGCAGGTTCAAATGCCACAAAATGAGTGGAAAATGTTGATGGCACACTCAGATACAAACTGGTGTGGGGGGGGGGGGGCGATTTTCCCATAATGCCAACTGTAGTTGGCTGCCTTGTGATCTGTTTTATGTCATGGTTTTGAGTCACTAGTTCTTTTTACATTTCTTACGATAATGCCTTCAAGGTTTTTGTTGAACTTATTTCCATCTTCCTGTTCAGGTTATAGAGAAGAGAATGACATGGTGGAAACTCCTGTGCCAAAAATTGGCAGTTCCAATATGACATTCTATGCACATCCAAAGGCTTGGAGTTCCTTGGTTCGGTGAACATATTTTGATCTGGAAAAAGTATAGTATCGAAGGGCTAAAGCAGTTTTGCACTTTTATTTATGTTTCGTTAATGTACTCAAATTTGAAAAAAGAAAACATTTAGAATGCAAAAAACAATGAAAAAAATTACTTTCATTTTTAGTCCAAAAAACACATTCTTACTGAACACCTGCAAAACTGACCTAGGCTACAGTAATCTTAAAAAAATTAGTATAACTGGGCATGTATCTTTCTCTGCCATATGGTTGTTTTTTTCCCTCTTTTGCATGAGAGATGGTGGTTTTTCATTTTAATTGTGAAAAGCTTTTTGAAACTGCATTAGATGATCCATTGAGTTCTTCAACATAAAGGTTAAGTATAGAAGTTTGGAACACATGAAGAGTATAAAGTTTGTCATTGATCTTTTATTTACTTATTTTTCGATTATATAAGCATCACCGATTCTTTGTATATTCCATGTTATTGTGTGTAGCTTTACGACATATACTTTACCAGCAATGCAATTTGCATGTTATACCTACTTATGGTTGTGAGAGTGAACCTTCAATCAAGGGAACTTTTCTAATTTCGGTTGGATGTGTTAATTTCTGAAATTTCCTTTGCTAGTGTTTTTCTTATCCATTTTGGCACATTTTGGTCCTAGCAGTCCATATTCAATGAACATTTTATTTTCCAATTGCTTACAGTTTTCTTAAGTGTTAACTAATAAGTAAATGCCTGATTTAAGTCCATATTCAATAAGCTATAACTTATCAAAAAGGAAAGTTGAAATGGTTCTAACAGAACTATTAGCATGACAATTTGAATTTTAGTAATTGAATTTAACGTTAGTCTAGTAAGCTGAACTTTAAGTAACTTTTCATTGGAATATATGAGCATCTTGGTGAATTATTGATAACCATAATAATTCCATTGGACATTTGGTTCCTTCTGGCTTCCATCGGATAGTTGAGATATGCTAATGGGTTTGGGGTGAAGAGCGTCTTTTAGTATGCTTAAAGGTTCAAAATTTTGTCACGTATTGGTGGGTCATTGATACATGAAATATTAAGAGTTTTACGGTAAGACTTGTTTTAGGGCATAACTAGGCCTTTAATTGACTCCTTGAATATATTTTGAAAAAAAAAACTAAACAAAATACAAAGGAGTGTTGACACAAAGTCCCATATACCCAATTTGTTGTATTGAACTGTATCGATGCTTCGAACCTTGATATGTTTAGTTTAGTTGTAGATAGATTTGCAGGAAAATACATGGTAGTTTATTTACAAGTAGCAGTTCTAAATTTGCATTTTGTATGATTGTTGATACCTGATTTTTGCTCCGTAGACCGCTTGAACTCCCAAACTACCTCAAACACTCGATCATACATTTTTGATCTTTTTGTAACACCCCAAACTCAAAGAACTTGAATTTTAGCCCATGAGACCCTAGATTCATCGTTAAATATGTTTGATACCAATCCGTTGAGCTTGATTAAGCCTCGTTTACACCTTGACCCCTAAATAAGACACCACCATTAAACCTTAGACATCTTAAAACACCTACTCATGAAATGCCAGCCCAAGATTCTTCCATTTATCCCTTTGTCAAACCAAGATTACGTTTTGAGCCATCTTGTAATCCTAAACACTTGGAACCTAAATACCTTTGGTTCTAAGACCTCTGAATCAATTATGCCACATTCTTAGATTCTGAGCACACCAAAACACTTACTCATAAAGTTTCAACCCAAAACACCTACTCATAAACACCTGTAATCCAAATACCACGGTTTGAACTGTTTGATCCAGTTGGTCAAATTAGTGACCCACAACCTGAAGGCAAAAACGGTTCGGCCTTCGGATAGGTTGTTTAAACACTTATATTATAATTAAATAATAAAAAATAAAAAAGATAAAAATACAAAATATGAAAAATAACATATATTTTGTATGATCTCTAATATTATAGGGAAATTCTTGATCAATACCCTATACTTTGGTTTGAGCGACAATTTGATCCCTGAACTTTAAAATGCGACAATTCAGTACCCAAGCTTTCAAAATGTGACAACCTAGTACTTTGACTTTCAAAATGTGACAATCCGATACCTATAGTTAACCCGTTTGTTAAGTGACATTTGAAAAATCAAAAATGCCCTAAGAATGCCATTTAATTCTCTTTATCAACCATCCAAACGTTAACAAAAAAATCAATCGTCCCAAATCCTAGATTCTTCTAAATAATCACCAACTTTTTTGAACCGTCCCAAAGTCACTATTCATTTTTTTGTGTCAATGGTTGGATGATTGATAAAGAAAATTAGATGACATTTGAAGGATATTTTTGACTTTTTGAATGTCACTTAAAGTCAAGTATTGGATTGTCACATTTTGAAAATCAAAATATTAAATTGTGGGATTTTAAAATTCGGAGACTAAATTGTCACTCCAGCCAAAGTAGTACTGATTGGGAATTTTTCCAATAATATATATATTAAAAAACATAAATATGATAAACAAAAAAATATTCTTATATACATAATAAATTTAAAAAATCGAACACATTATTATTATCGTGACCGAATTTGTTGAGCGCTCACAGGTACACCGTCCATTGAGAACATCTTCTTAAGTACGGGAGATGTTCCCAATGCATGATAGGATGTGCGTGTGAGGCGTGAGGAGAAGATCCGGTCTCATTATTATCATCCTCTGAAATTGAAATTGCTACATGTGCACATTTGGCCGCGAGTAACAAGAGGCTGGTGATGTTTTAGACAAGCGTAAACAATTTTAGTATACAGGTATAAAAGTGAAATTTAACTGCCACTTGATGTTTGATTCCTGTCATTATCTCTTGTTATATACCTGTTTCTTTTCATCTTTACACAACCGAAGACAAAATCGAGAATCGAGAAATCTCCTGAACCATGGGAACTCAGTGTGCAACCATGGGAACTCAGTGTCTTCCGGCCTGCATCTCATCGTGGTGAAGCGGTGAGGCTATCCGTTCTCCTCATCTGAGTTCTGAGGGTCTAATAATGGTGAAGCGCTAAAGATTTCAGACCGTCAGACCCGTAGTTAGGATCGTCTGAAAGTCTAAGGGCGAAATGGAATCTCATCAGTTAGTTCCATTCAAGACTAGATAAATGAAATTTTAATGTGCTCGTATCGTTAAATTGGCATTCATCATTCTACGCTGGTTTCTGATTTGTTAAGAATAGAGGAACTGATGTTGCCTTCCAATAAATTGCATGAATCATCGGTTTCTGGAGGGAGATAATCGTTGACACATCTTTGATTTCAAAGTATTTCGAATTAAAATAATGCCTTCCTTTTTATCTTCTACTGTGTAAGACAGTTTCTTTTTCATTTCTGTTTCTTTTTGGTGATTATTAATGTTGATTTGATTTGGACGTGTAGGATTCAGATTGTGGAGTATTTTTCTAATCCTCTTGATTGGAAGGATCGGCTTCTGAACCTTGGATGCATTATCAATCTTTCTCCAAAAGAAACAGGGGCGCTTTGCAAAATTGGAAAAAGTATGCTTCACCTTGTCAGCGATACTCTGTTTTTTCCTGCATACGGTGACCATTGAAAAAAACATTTCTGAAATTTTGGTTGCTTTAATTGGAGTCGGATGAAATCCGATAATCCCATATATCCGACGAAGTTGAATTCAATTTAAACTGATAGATACGATCGGAGTTCAGTTCGAGTTCGGATGTTAGGTATTTTTAATCGAATCGAACTCGGATGGAGGTACATCCGATCAGATTATAGCCATAAGGACAAGACGTTGACGGTTCTTCCTTGCAACTTCTCTCTCTACGACTCTACATGCACACCGCCTTTCAACAATACCGCCATTGAAACTACATCCCACGTCTTCTTCATTACTTATCTCAAATCCTAAGTCTCTCCTTTCCTCTCTTCTTCGCCTTTATCCATCACTATTGTCTCCGTTTCCATTCAGTTCTCTAAGAGAGAAACCCAAATGAAAGCTCTTCATGTATCCCGATTTCTTCTCTTTTTTTCTTTCCAACACAATTGGAGCTGCGGATCATTTTCTGTTTCCCCGCCTGATCCGTTTCTAGCTTGATTGACTTGAGGTTTCTGGTTTTGTTCATTGTTAAATTGGGAGATTGAGGAGGAATTTAATTGGAGTTAGGATGTCGAATTTGTATGGAGAATTCAATCAAAAGATTGATTACGTGTTCAAGGTCGTCTTAATTGGAGATTCGGCAGTTGGGAAATCTCAGCTTCTGGCGCGGTATGCTAGGAATGAGTTCAGTTTGGATTCAAAAGCAACAATTGGTGTTGAGTTCCAGACGAGAACGCTTGTTATTGATCACAAGACTGTCAAGGCACAGATATGGGATACGGCTGGTCAAGAAAGGTGAGCTTTTATCTTCTGATATCTCATCTTGGAGTGTGAAGTTGGTTGATAAACTAAAGGATTTCTACAAATTTTCTTTTGTTTTATTGATTATAAGGTGTTCTCTCTCTCTCTCTCTCTCTCTCTCTTTCTTATTGTACCTGTTAAAATATTTCATACTCTGCTAAAAATAAGTTATAATTGAACTTCAATATCATGTTTCCTACATCTACTTCTCGATTATCATTCATGGAACCGTATAAGATGATTTGAATAATTTAAGCTTGGCCACGGTTGGAGAATGGAGACTTAAGAGTAACCACTAATTTGTTTCCCACTTCATTGCTTATTAAATTAAAGTTCCCACCTTTTATTTATTTTGGACATTTCGACTTGGTTATAAATCGGAGATCAAGGAGTGCATAGGTTTTATTGTTTTAACATTATTTAGAGCACATGCAACTTTCTGATTTGGTATATTTATGCATTGTGTTTAAACATGCTTCTACACGTGGTTAGGTTAGGCAACATGCCAAAGAGCTAAACTTGTGCTTCTACCCTGATTCCTTTACCTTCTCATTGTTGGATGGTATAACTAAAGAAAAGTAGGTCTTGTTCACCTCCTTGAGATCTCTTGATGCCAGATCCCATTGAAACTGTGTGGAGTGAAGAAAATTCACATCATGAAGAATATCAATAAGAAGGAGGGAAGTTCTCACTATAGGTTTTTACAAGATAACCAGGGTCTAGTCATTGGTTGAGGTCAACAGTTATTCCAATACATATTTTTTCTAAGATCACCAGGAAGGGGTAAGCTCAAGAATCTCTGATGCATCTTGGAAATAGAAATGGTTTAGGGGGGAACTTCTCTTTGGTGTCCTCTCCATATATTTTATTTCATTCTTTGACACTTTTTTTTTTTTTTTTTTTTTTTTTTTATCTTGAAAACTTGGGTCTCTTTTTCATTTGTCTTATTTTTCTTTCTCACCTTTGACATGGTTGCCCATAGACTATAGTTAAATTCAATGTTTAGATTATTTCCTTTTATTATTTTAAAAGAACTACCTAAAATTGCATCGCTTTCCTATTAAACGTTAAAACAATGTAAGACCTCAACCCTAGGGGAATTTGTATCACCTGGGGTCAAATCAAGTTTTGATTCAATATAATTTGTCAAGTTTGTAATTAATATTGACCATCTTTTGGACATGTTACAATATGGGATAGATAATTTACAAGATTAGAAATCAAAACCAAATTTCAGCAGTCTGTTAAGTGCTAAGTAAGTTTCAGTCATCAAAGCAGTCCTCTCTAATTAAGTCTCAAATCTTTATAAAAGCTTTGACTTAATTGACACATATAAGTTACAAACTTGGTTCTAGGTGTACTGCATATATATATAAGCAGCTTAGTGGGGGCAAATGACTAACTTTGCTTGCTTTATATATTGATACGAGTGTCTTTTTACCCATTTTAAGTTGGTAGGAATGTATGAAGAGCTAAAAATGAGGCTTTTAATCCTTGTGCATATGTGGTTTTCCTTTGAATCAAGGAAGTTCATCGAAAAATCTTATCATTATTTCTAAAAACTTAAGTGTAAATTGCCATTTCATCATTTATTAGTTTAATTTGTGGCTTAGTAGTTTATAGCTAATGTGAAATACTGGAATGCTTGCGTATTGTTATCCATATTACATATGTATGCTTAGATGATTTTTGTTTGGCAGGCTCTCCATCTTTCCCAACCACCTCAATTTTTTCATGTTTGGAATTAAAAAATAGAAAAAATGATAATGAGAAATCTCACCCCTACATAACTTTTCGTATTTTACCATATCCAGTTAAAACAGCGTGGTTTCCATTTTTGTTTTTTACTACAAATTTCTACTCACTACATGTCCTTTTAATTGTTCTATTGATGTAGACTGATGTGATCCAAGGCTGGATTGGTAAAAATTTGAGAGAAACTCAAAAGTAAATAATGATAACGGGAGGTTAATTCCAAGGTTTGGGTTTGAGGGGCTAGGGGAAGGTGGATGAGAGTTTGTCTAAGGTTATATCACTGTATGGTATGATTAGAAAAAAGTCAATATCTTAGATTGGATCGATGATATACGAAGTTATGATAATTATTGTGGGATTAAACTCTTGAGCTGCAAAATGAAACTTTTGGGGAGAGTAATCAAGTAGAGGTTATGACATGAAACAAGTATATCAGAAAACCAAGATGGCAAGAGTATCAATGTTTCTTGTCATTAACTCAAAATCTAGTGGCAGATAAAGGTGGGCCAAGTTTGGTTGGTCCTTTTGGATAAAGGGATAACACAGACTTTTGTACATTTCACTGGTAATTTAAATACATTATAAGATGTGCATATTTTTATTTAATCATTTTGATTACCTAGGCATTGAATTGCCTTGCTTTCCAGTGATACCTGGAGACCTGTACATGTCTAGTGTATCTTTAAAACATGGATGTGTGATGCATGGTTAAGAACACAAGAGGTATAAGCCTCTTGAGCACAAGGAGGCATAAGTGTTGTGTAGATGATTATATTTTGCAGTTATGGCCTTATATGGCTGGGTTCATATTAGTGCACTATGATTAGTTTTTTTGGGGTCCATACAAGAGCATTTTGATAATATTACAATAAACAAATTTTTAGGGTTTTCATCATCTGCAATATGTTAATGTATAATGGGAGACATTGATGAAATGGTTCCCCACTTTTATCTATAACATTTTTATTATAAAAATTGGCTTAAATATCAAAGAACTGTTAAAGATTCACCTTGCTGACACTCCACAAAGGAAGGCATAGGCAGGGTTGCATTAGAATGGGGAGCTCCAGGACCAGTGGCTCAGCTATGAAATTCACTTGTATCTTCCAGAATTTTTGTGATGCTAGGAGATGTGCTATGTTAGGTTACCAATCTTGTTCTTCCCAAGAGAAGGGGGTTTTGGGTGTGCTATGTTAGGTTACCAACTCCATCACTTTTTTCCCAAAAAGATATTATTTCTTATTGTGTTTAACCTGAATGATGAGGAAGACTTGTAGAGATGTCTATGCTGTTAAAAGAGCATAAACTTCATGCAAGCTACATTCCTGGACTTTAAGTTTTCACTTCAACCTAACATTCCTAGACTTGATTCTGTAGAATATACCTATAAATATGGACTGAAGGTTGTAGAGAAAATTTTGCCTCTTGTGTTGAAAATGCGTCACTAAAGCCTTTTTGCTACTTTTATCTATTTATTTATTTGTTATTTACTTGCAATCAAATGATACAATTAGTTTGCATCAACTTTGGAATAGAATAAGACCCCATGACAAGCTTGTTGCGACATATCAAACATGCATTTCAATTAGAGTATTGGAAAGCAATAGTCTTTGTTTGCTTGACAAGAAACATGCATACGCAACAATGCTATTTGTTGTTTGCAGTGCTCTTTGTATTTGGTACTCATTGGAATATTTGATTCAGGTCTGCAATGTCACCCTCAGCTTGTCCATGATCTACATTTACAAACAGGGAGTGATAATGCCATGCTCATCATAGAATCCTCCTTTGTTTGATCCTTAGTTGCTCTATACCCTTTTTCTCACATTTGGTAAAACCGGCATTCTTATAGAAAGCTCTTTGGACATTTGAAGGACTAATTCCTGGATCAATGGCATTAATAGAAAATGTTATTGCTCGACTTTCTTATGTGGGTTCTATCCAATAATCCTTCTTCCCAGATTGAGTTCATAGTTAGTATTTTCAAGGTTATGAACACATGGAACCGGGTTGCATCTATTAGCTCCAATCGTATACTTACAGATTTGGGATGTAGTATTATTGATGAGATCTATCCATAAATTACTGATTCAATGGGAATAATATTGAATACAACTTAAAAGATAAAGAAAAGAAGAGAGAATTATAAGAATAGTTGAATTAAAATAACAGAGTAACCACTTTTTCTTTTAATTTACAGACATGACCAAAGCAAATCGGATGAATATTAGTGAGCATAATATCTTTTAGTAAGAAACCAAAAGTAGTTAAAGGTAAAGATAAAAAATAGAGTATCATAAAAGGTGTTGGTTGGGTGTGGTTTTGCCATTTTTTTTTCACCCCAGGAACTTAAAAGCAGATTGTACTCGCTATGAATTTATTGCTACTAGTGGTCTTCTTGAATGTTATTTGTCATTTTACCATTAGATTTTCTTGGTTTCTTTCAATTCAACTATTTTGGCAAAATTTGTGTATAAAATAAATGTTCTAGCCCTTTACATCTTGAGTCATGATTTATCTCAAGGGTTCAAGGGTGGAAAATTGGGCACCCCTAAAGGAAGAAACTTTCCTTTCCAAGTCAGTACTGTTTATTAGTTATTGTAAATGGTGTTTCTTTTAGCTTTTCACCAGGGATGCAATTCCCCATCTATCAAAATGGGATGTTCGGGGTTCAGCACCGGAGAAAAGTTAAAAAAGATAGTAAATTGAATGCAAGTATATAGAACAATTGTGACGATAAACTTAACATTTGGGGTTCTGCATCAATAAGAATATGTGAATTAATCTATTGCATGCCAAATTTCTTGCCTTGTTTGGTTGAACCCACACAAAAATAACATTCAGATTTAGATGATTACTTGTACGTTTTCTCCTTTTATATATTATAATTATAATTTATAACTAGTGATTTAATCTTTTAAATAAGTTGATGGATGCTCAGGTATAGAGCCGTGACAAGTGCATACTACCGAGGAGCAGTTGGGGCAATGCTTGTGTATGACATGACCAAACGTCAATCATTTGACCACGTGGCAAAGTGGCTGGATGAACTCAGGAGTCATGCAGATAAGAACATCGTTATCATGCTCGTTGGCAACAAGTCTGATCTAAGCACCCTTCGAACAGTCCCCATAGAAGATGCTAAGGATTTTGCGCAGAGCGAAAGCCTCTTCTTTATGGAGACATCAGCCCTAGAGGCCACCAATGTTGAGAGTGCCTTCTTGACAATTTTGACAGAGATTTATCGGGTAGTCAGCAAGAAGACCCTCACTGCCAATGATGATATGGATTCAGGAGGAAAGTCAGCACTTCTAAAAGGAACCAAGATTGTCGTTCCTGGCAAGGAGGGGAGTTCTGAAGGAAAGAAGGCCACGTGTTGTTCATAGTTCCACTCCCCTTTTGCTAAGTTAAAAGAGAACTATCCATTAAACCTCTTGATGTTTGTACTCTTATTTGGGATGTTGTTTAGCTTTGCTCATCCCCTTTTTGTTTGTCCAGAGGTGAAACATTATCATTTTTTTTTCTCTTTTTCAGACAATAATAAATTACAACATTTGGTATGTAACTATTCGTCTTCCTTTTTTTACTTTTGTTGAGGGGAAAGAGGACTTGCCAAAAACAAATATGTAAAAGCACAGCTCTCATTTTTTTTTTTCGAGTTTACCAGTGGTGAGGTACATGCAAGTTTGTCATTCTAAATGAAGTCCATAAGGGCAGAGATTTCTCCAATTGATGAAGCACATCTTTTTTTGGTAGATAAATTGATCAAGCACATTTGGAGACATCTCATTTATAATTTACCGTTCTCGACTTTATTAGACATAATTCTTTCGTATTACTGACAAAGCAAATATGCAACATCAATTCGTCCCACAATTTGTAGCTAGCAATCCTTCGTAAAATAAATACATAACAAAACCAATTTTGAACAATATACATGGAAAAGATTAAGGAACAAAAAAAGAAAGAACAATAAACCCAATGAATGCCTTCTATTGTTATAAATGGCCACCGGCGGTAGCGGCCCCTGCTTTGGCATGCAAAAAGAAATTGTATAGAGCAACGTTTTTGAACCGCCGTTGACCCGGATGGTCGGACCGTTCAGCCTGGAAATCGTCCAGGCAACTGGTTTCGTTTTACCTCAAACTCGGAATTTGGTTAAAAAACGTTGGAAAAGTCAACAAATCATTGACCCGGGTGGTCAATCCATCGACCCGTTTAACATTTTTTGACCTTTTTATTATTTTTTTAATTTACTGTTAGAACGAGCCATTCATTCGAACCGGACGGTCTGGCCATCAACCTAAAAACCAGTGACTAGAACGATTCCATTTCTGGGTCATTTTTTAAAACGTTGATATAAAGTAATATATATCTTGCTATACAAAAATTGATTTTTATGTTCTTCGCGACAAAAAATGGCTCTCTTGAGTGAGATAAATCTAATAGTAAATAGCGAGGGAAGCCCCACTATGTATAAGTTAAGGGGATGCAATGTATTCTAAGATGGCAAAATTGGGTCCACTGTGTGAATTTCAGTTTTATTATATAACAATTCGAATCTTAAACTCTAGTGGAACCAAACCAAATTTGAGAAGCAAAAGGACAAAAGATGCACCATAGGAATGCATTCACTTGATCCAAAAAAAAATTCTTACAAAATCACAGAAGAAAAGAACTTAAAGTAAAGATGGGACTTTCCTCTTCCAACCAAGGTTTACAGTATCGACACATGCCGATACGCTGATACATTGATAGGGCGTATCGGCCTGTACCGGTACTTTTTTTTATGTTATATTTATTTATTTTTTTCAAAATTGGTTCAGAGGGATCAATTTAAGGCCCGGCTACCCTCTAAACCAGGGTCTGACCCGATACAACCCCTGGAGGGGTGTATCGGGAAGTCATCAGCATGATATGTATAGGCCGATACAATACTTTGAACCTTGCTTCCAATGAAAACTAATAAGATTTTCAACACTTAACGGGACAATAAGGAAAACAATTTTCCCCATCCTGGCCAAGTACTCGGCCTCCTGACTCATAGTAAAAATAGAAGCAAACTTAAATTATGATCTTTTTGTTTCAATCCAATCTCGACATTGATTACTAGGAATGGCAACCGGGCGGGTTCGGGGCGGGGATAAAATTTGCCCTCCATCCCCGATCCCCGACGGGGATGGGTTCCCCACAGGGATCCGAATCCCCAAAATTTTTTTAAATAATAGTATTTATTTGAAAAAAATTAGTTAAAATAAATAAAAAATTTAAATTATAAATAAATTTTTAAATATGTTCTGATATATATATATATATATATATATATATATTTAATATAAATAAATATACATAAATGGGGACAGCTGACCCCAACCCCGATCGGGGATTCCTATTAATCCCCATCCCTGTCCCCAACCCACCAAAACCCCCATCCCCGACCTGATGGGGTCGGGGAAGTCGGGTCCCCGTTGGGGATGGGGAACATTGCCATCCCTGATTACCAAAAAAAATCCAATCTCGACATACTGTTTCCGTAGAGACGAGAAATGCTGATACTTGTTCCAATCCTAACCTACTATAAAATAAAATAAAGACTTGCAAGGAAATGAAAGGGGCGGTGTTTTTGTACCCGCATGAGGATGTTTAAGAGGGACTGATCAATGCTGGTTGAAGCCAAAGGAGAGACCAGATCTTGCAGCCTATGGATTAGAGCCACCTATGCCATGACAGCATTGCGGGTGGGGTCATCCAACTGGTGTTGTGAGACATTGTGGATGAGATCAAGGTTCAAAATATTGTTACGTATCAGTCCATATTGACTGATATGTATCGTATCGGGGCCTTTTCGATACGCCCCTACAGGAGGTATCAGGTCAGGTTATGATTCAGAGGGTAGTCGAGACTTAAACCAACTCCTTTGAACCGGTTTTGAAAAAAAAATAAATAAAACACGAAAAACTACCAATACAGCAAAGCCTAAGAAAAGGGAAAAAGCAGAATGTTAGAGGGTTAACTTGGGCTGTTGGGGCCCAACAGCATAGGCTGTTGAGACAGTTTCTGGAAACAAAGCACAATACTAGAAAATAGTAGACACTGAAGCAATGCACAATTTGCGAAGAGTAAGACCAATGGAAAATTGTTAGTAAGGTAACCATATTGTAAAAAATAGGAGGATACAAAATTTACCATATAAACACAAGTAATAAGAGGAAAAATAGGAGACAAATGAATAAACTTGCTGAGGAAAATTAGGAGAGTAAAGACATATTTGAGATCGATATTTCCAGGTCAGACAACCTAAAAACCAGTTTAGAGGTCAGAGTTTCTTCTCCAAAGCAGATAACAAAAAATAGGAAAAAACACCCCGTTTAGGGTTTCGTGTGGAAACCCAGGTTGTCTGCAAAATGTTTGTGATATGCCTCTCCTTTGATTTGGTGTCTGCAAAACTGCAACAAAAAATGGTAAATCAACCATCAAAAAAATAAAAGAAAAGAAGAAATCAATGAACCCAAAAGAAAAGAAGGAATTGATTAGTACCATCATCTCTTTCTAGAACTTTGCTGCTATTTCTTTTAGGCAAAAACATCAAACCAATCCCTGCAAACACAATGGACATGGAAAATCCCATATATTGACTAGGGGTGCTCATGGTTCAGTTAACCGAACTGTGGTTTTATTATTATATTTTTGAAACCAAAGCAATCCTTCAGTTTCTGTAAAATCCCAAACTGAAACCAATTGATTAACCAGTTGATCAGTTCGGTTTTTGACTGGTTCAATTCTTTGGCTTTTTTATAATATATATCATAAATAAATATATAACTATAATATATATATATATATATATATATACCGGTCAGTTTGATTAACTGATAATCAAAGCTGGTCAATTAACACTAACCACCAGTTTATTAGTTCATCAGTTTTTTGGTTTTTTTTTTTTATAATATATATCATAAATAAATATATAACTATAATATATATATATATATATATATATATACCGGTCAGTTTGATTAACTACAGTTTTTATTTGATTTTCTTGGTTTGGTTCGGTTTTTCAATTTTTGTTGAGCACCCGTAATATTGACATGTTCATACAATTGACTGATGCATTAAAGAACACATAATATGCATGTTACTTATGACAGTTTGAATATAGCAACTATATGGTCAGCAGGCATGTAGTTTTAATTTTATTAAGCAAGTTGGGGTGTGAATATGTTGAGGTATCTCTGACATGATAAAATAATAAAAAATGGAATATTGTTTATAAAATAGATTGATGATCTATGCTGCCCAAATACAATCATATAACAAGTATATGATAAACAGAATTTACACTTAGAATTGGAGTACTGGAAACGCATGTAACTTGCACCCAAAACATGTGGTAATACTGGTAGGAATTAATACAGACTACAAAATTCACATCCTCATGTACAAAAGCTTTAAAGAAGTTCCATATGCACCTTACAGACAGATTCAAGTCAACTTGGTTACTAGGATCTTCCAAAACCTTCATGAATCACAATGCAACCAGCGAAAAGGTGAGTGCATCCCCATAAGATGGTAGCTGACAAATTGAATAACCAATGTAACTTTAGATATGCACTGTCATTGTCAAACTAAACCAGAGATTCATCATCATCATCATCATCTAAGCCTTGTCCCAGCTAAATGGGGTTGGCTATATCAGACCTATTTCGCCGTTCCATTCTGTCCAGTGCCATATCCATTGCTGTGCTTAAATCATTTATTACTACTTCCATCCAAGTCCTTTCCGGTTTGCCCCTAGCTCTTCTATCCCCTTCAACTTGTAACATATCACTGCTAGGGGTGCTGTAGATGGTCTTCTACAAAGCTGGAGATTATTATCGAGAATTTTAATTAGGTTAATATGTCCCCACAAAAAGCCAAGGTTGAGAAAATTTTAGTAGACTATGTGATATATAATAGAAAAAAAGACTAATGTCAAAACAATAACTAGCCTTGGAAGAAAAATCAAATAATCCAGAATGATATAATAGGAGGTGAAATGAAATTATACATAAGGTGTGGTATTTGGTGTCCTTCAAACATAGAGTTGAAGTTTAAAATAAAGGAAAATGGAATTGTACAGTACCTTGAAGATGTCAAGATTGATTAGGAAGCTGTGCAAATGTTCCTGTATTGGGAATGCAACCTCCAACCATCATTTGCTTATATACTGCATATGCAAGGTCAGGATTGCCAAGACATGCTATACCCCCAAATGAGGGCATTATATGTAAAGACATTAGGTTCAAGCCCCTTAAGTTGGAGTTCTTCATACATCTTTCCTGCTTCATCCACCATTCCAACCTTCCCAAGATGGAGTATCAAGGAGTTGTTGGTATAAAGGTCGGGATTGGCCCCTCCACTCTGCATCTCTTTAAACAGACAGATAGCCTACTCTGTTCTCTGTGATCTTCCAAGGCCATCAATTATTAGGTTGTAAGAAACCAAGTTAGGCACGAGGCCATTTAACTTTGTCTCCTCAAAGTAATGCAGGGAATCAGCCACTCTACCCACCAAACAAAGGCAATCTACAAGAATAGTAATAGGACTTCAAATCTGCTCTGATGCCTTCTTTACCCATCCTACCAAACAACTTACAAGCAGTTAGCACATCACCCACCTTCCCAAAGCCATTTATAAGAATATTATAAATGGCACAGTTAGGCTTGCATCCATAGTCCACCATTTAC